TGTATCCCTAGTTCACAAAAGAACTTTGCGAACATATCCCCCATGGAGGGATAACTGCCTTAATCTAGAGACAGGAGAGAAGCCCTAGTCCCTACTTCACAGGACCTGTCAGATCTACATGACCCCAACTGGATGGCACTCCCCTACATATGGAATTGGGGTGGGGGGATGGGAGGGGAGGGTGTTTAGAGTGCATGTGAGAGGGCAGAGAGGGTAAAAGGGAGGGAAGGAGGGACGGAGGGCTGGGGGGGAGGGAGTGAGGGAGGGAGGGAGGGAGATGGAACTGGGATCAACATATAAAATAATATATTAAACTAAAAAAGAAAAATGCTTTGACTCCAAAATTTAAATTGAAGGACAAGTTACTGGGGAAAAGGATTTCTATTTTTGTTTCCACAGAAAATGAAAAGATGTGGATTCCTTCCAGACTAATGTGGTTTGATCACGCCAGACCGCCTGAAACAGAGTACAAGCTGATCCTACATTCAAAACAGCTGGACAAAACAGCCCTACAGACTACAGCCAGGATATCTGAATCTTCTTCGAATCCCCCAAGACAGCGCCCCTTACCAGCAGGAAGTAGTTTGGAAAGAATGACGCCCAAATTCCCAAATATTGTTTTTAAATGTTTGTTTTCATTTAATTGGACTGTTATATAAAATTAAATTAAAAAAAATCAGAGTGCAAAGCTAGCCACAGCCATAAAGGCCAGGCAGTGGTGGCACACACCTTTAATCCCAGCACTCAGGAGACAGAGGCTACACCCTGGACTACATGTGAATGAATCAGACTAAAACAGAAACAGAGCTCACACCTTTGATCCCAGCTCTTAGGATCACACTCCTTTAATCCCAGCACCTGGGGAGGTAGAGACAGGAATGATGTGACTGGGCAGAGGAGATAGGAGCTCATTGCAGTCAGAGGTTTGGTGGAGAGCACTGCAGTATGGAGATGCAATCTGAGGACAGGATCACCCCTTCAGTGTAAGCATTGGTGGAGGTGAGGACTCTCAAGGGGCTGGCCACTTTCTGTCTCTGCTCTTCATCTTTAACCCCAATATCTGCTCTGGATTTTTATTATTCTTGCTGCACAAGAGGTCCCCAGTGGAAGTTTTACAGCTCTGAGGGGAAAAGTGTTCTAGCAGTCAGGAGTCCAGGAATACCACAGTCACACCACAGAACAATCCTCACTCAAGAGATTTATTGGGAGGTGTCTGAAGCTGTCTTTTGGGGGCTGCAATCAGAACCAGCCAAGCAGCCCTAAGTTCTTACCTGTGTGTGGGGGGTTGTGGATGAGGGAAAGGCTAGCTATAGATGATAAAGAAAAGACAGAATAAAATCAATAGGGCAGTTTCAGTTAATGTTGAAATGCCACCAGTTTTTTTCAGCACTCTTATATCCCTTAACCCCAAAGGGGAACATGGCATCATGTATACAGAACAAATAGATTTGTCTTCCTCCTTTCTCTAAGGGTTCAGTAACCACACCTCAGATTCAGCTTCTTGTTCCCTAGCTTTGAGGCTAGTGTTTCTTATTGGCTAGCTCTGTCTTAAATACTAACTCATTTCTATCAATCTGAGTATTTCCATGTGGTCTCATCTTACCAAAAAGAGGATCCGGACCTCTGTTCTCTCAAGCTCTACATGTTGAATCTCCTCCCTACTACTTCCTGAATCTTCCTTTTCTCCTAGTCCCATTTATCTTGCTTTCCTATTGGCCAACAGTGCTTTATTCATTAACCAATAAGAGAAACATATTTACAGAATGACATCTCCTATCAAAGGTTTCCTACCCAAGATATAATCTCTGAGGAAAGAGTACCCTCACTGCAGCTCAAAAAGGAAACCACCCTGCAGATCCCTATTCCTCAGATCAAAAACAGCTATGCGAACTTCTGGGTGGGGTGGGGGGGTGGGGTTGGGGGGGTTGCAAGTTCATGCTGTCTTTGGATCTTTGGTCTTGCCAAGAAAGCAAGGCCTTTGTTTGACCACTACAGCTTACCAACCATGAAAATGGACTGAGATAGAAAACCGAACCTTTTAGGGTATAAGGATGCTCTAATTCAAGCTCCAGCTCAGGCCTTACCAGATGTGACAAAACTGCTCCATCCTCCCTTTTGTTCATGAGTTCTGGGGATTACAAAGGGTGTGCTTACCCAGACCTATGGACCTTAGCAGAGGCCCAAAGAATACCTATCTGAATGCCTAGCTTCTGAATGGTCACCCCAACTGTGTGTCATAGCTGCTACCAGCCCTATTGGTAAAGGAGGCTGAAGCTCACCTTAGGCCAGGGCTTACTGCTTATGGAGATCCTCTTCCAGGGACCAATGACTGATGAATATCAAATGACTATGTTCCCAAATAGAGCCTGCTTCTCCATCAGCCCCATTTCCCTGTTACAACTGTTCAAAGTCTCATCCCAGTATCAGCAATACCAGACAGTGAGTGACCTGAAGGTACTCTTAAATAATTGTGAGGATCTGCTGGATATTCTTCCCAGACCCCCATCTCCACCCAAACTTCTCCTTGCCTGAGGCTGACATTGACTTGTTTACAGGTGGAGGCAGTCTCATAATGAATGGGCTCAAAGGGCAAGACCTACTGTAACCACCCAAAAAAGATATTTTCACCCAGGACCTGTCCCTGGGCACCTTCACACAAAAGACTGCACTGTTTGATCTTTCCTAGGCTTCTCTCAGGAAGGGGTAGCTGGGTAAACATCATCAAAGGCCGCAGGTATTCCTTCACCAGCCTTCATGTCCATGCCACATTCTATATGTTAAAGGCGCTCCTAGTTGTGGGAGGAAAAACCATCAAAAACAAAAAGGAAAACCTAGCTCTCCTTAAGGCTGTCTCCCCAAGGAAATAGCAGTCATACACTGCAGGGATCATCAAAAGGTTGACATTGACAACCAAGGATCCCTAGCAGCCTGCCGAACTCTACATTGAGCCATGCATCATTCTGCCCGGAATGTTTTTTGACCCAGTATTCTCCCCTCAGCCTACATACACACAGAGAGAAGGCAGTACCATTCCTAGGGTGCACAAAAGGACCCTGTGGGATTCTGGACCCTGCTGGACTCCAGGATCATCCTTCTCACAGCCTTCGGACACCTGCTTGTAGACCAACTACATCGGGTACTCACCTAGATGCCACCAAACTGAGACACTATCTTTTAAATAACAGATCAAAAACTAACTGCCCTGCCAGTCTTCCTCTGCCTTTCATATGCTCAGGTCAACTCTAAAAGGGGGACCAAAGGTATTGGTATGCAGGCCATTCTCTGTTTCGAGATATTTGATTACCCTGTGTAAAGATATGTCACTGTGATTGGTGTAATAAAAAAGCTAAATAGCCAATATATAGGCAGGAGGTATAGGTGGGACTTCTGGACAGAGTGTCCTAAGAAGAAAGGGGAAGTCACCAGTCAGACACAGAGGGGGCAAGATATGCAGGAGGAGAGGTAAGGGCCACTAGCCACATGTCAGCACATTGATGAATAGAAATGGATTAATTTAAGAGCTATTTTAAAAACAAGCTTAAGCTATAAGCTGAGCTTTGGTAATTAAGTTTCCATCTCATTTTTTGAGCCGGTGCCCCTGCCCCTAATCCATCTACAAATGGCACACAGCGTGGGGCTACACACTGAGAAAGCTTAAAGAAAAAGTTTGGAACACAGAGTCAGACATGGTGTCCTGATGACCATGGTCTCTCAGGCCCAGTGACATACAGGGACTGGCTACTGGCCATTGCCTGTGGACTGCAGCCAGCTGGCAGTGCCACATGCCAGCACCATGTACTAAGCTGAGCTGCATGGTGGCTGACATGGTAGTTAACTCTTGTCTCACACAGTGAGAATGCTGCTGACACTCCGTAAAGACAGATCCTGATGGAAAAACACCTCTAAACAGGTTAGTGTGTTTAAAAAATATGTATAAGCTTAAAGAAGAAAACGTGTATAGACAATCATAGAAAAAATAAGTTTATAAATAATAAGGTAGTCTTTGAAGAAAGAATAAAATAATATTTATTATTATATTAAGACACACAAAGCTAGAATATACACAGAGGGTCTGGATCCTATATGGTGCCTTACTGATTTTAAATTTTTGATTGCTGATGAGCAAGCAATAGCTGCTGAAAGACATTGGATTATAAAAACTGCTAAATTAAACCAACCTATATATTTTTTAAAAATGCATTACCTTCAAAATGGAAGTAAAAAATATGTTGTGTTGGGGAAGAGGTTACGCTTAAGTTCCCACAGAAAATGAAAGGCTGTGTGTAGGTTGGTTTTTCTTTGGGCTGTCAGCTCACAAAACCAAACAAAATAACAACAAAAAGCAGAGACTTTAAGAGGGTATGTAGTGGGATAATTTTTTTGTACACTGTGAAGATGTGTCAATGTGATTGATTTAATGAAGAGCTAAACAGCCAATAGCTAAGGATTTCTAGGCACAGAGGATGCCCAGAAGAAGGATGGAATTGCCAGGAGACAGAACAAGCAGGATGGACAGTACAGAAATGAAGTCCTAAACTCATGAGGCAGAAAGTAGATTAATAGAAACTGGTGAATTTAAGTTATAAGAGCTAGTTAGAAGCATAAAAATCAAGAAAGATAAGCTACAGAACCCAAATACACAGAATTTGATCAGTACACTGGAACAAAGCATAGGGGCAGAATGCCAGAGACCTCTGGGAAACTAAGTTCTGTGGAACACATGCCTCTGGTCCAAAAACATGGTTTTCACCATGTCACACATGTACACACACACAAAGGAGCACAGATAATGATGACAAGACATGACAGGAGCATGAGTACAGATCCCTGGAATTTCCTCAAATAGGTCACACTCTCACAGCCTAGGGGAGCACAAGAGTCTGCTGAACATCCCAGCCTGCTCATTTACCATAGCCTCTCCGGAGGACAGATATCCCACCTTGTCCAGGGGCTGGGCCTACAACTGAAAACAGAAGAATGAAGACTGTCAAGAGCTATCCTTGTTGGTTGTTCAAAATTTTTATTAACAAAACCCGTTTGCTTAGGGGATGGGTATAGACAAGGATGAGTAAACTCCACGGTCTCACCCCAGCACTGAATATGGAGAGGGACAGATGGAAGTCAAAATGTAGATGGGCACAGGGATAACTAAGGAGTAGTGGAATAAACAAATGAGTGGAGGAACAAAAAGCCAGGGATGCGCAGGGCCGCTCCCCTAACTGGAATGCAGGGGTGAGGGGCTCTAGGCTGGTGAAGCTCAGCGGTCAGCACTAGATCGAAGGTCGGTAGTGAGTGGGTCGTGTTGGATCGTTTGGTGCAGCATCAGGGCAAGTAATCCTGCTCGGTTGGTCATGGCTGTGCGAACATTACGCTCCTGCTCAAACAGCTCATCCAGCTTGTACCACTGCCAAGGAAGAGGAAGGAGGCATGAGAAGCAGCTCCAGAGCTCAGGCTGACTACAGTCACGCTCGGCATAAAACCTACCACCCGCACGCGCTCTAAGTCCACTTCTGCGCGCCGGAGTTTCTCCCAGCAGTAATGACGATTGCACTGGCGCTTAGGCAGGCGGCAGAAGTCACCTGTGAGCTCAAAGACATCACGTACAAGTGGACACCCACAGACCTCATCAGCAGGCACCTGCAGGGGCAACAAGGGTAGAGATGAAGAGGAAGAATGGAGAATTTGAAAGAGAGTGAGGGGTCAAAAGGGGGAGGGCCTGGAGATGACTAACAGGAAAGAGAGGAAATGAAGTTGACAGAAAAAAAAAAAAAAAAGAGGAGAAAAGGAGGGATAAAGGAACACATGGATGTGTGACTTGAGGCAGGGAAGGGCAGGATGCAGATAACTGAAGGAAAATCTTACTTTGGGGTCCCGTGAGTGCTCAGGGCATAGCACCTGGAGCCGCTTACAGTATGTTTTGCTCTGGGGATTGTAGACGTCACAGAAGAGTCGGGTAGCCCTGGCAGAGATTAACAGGAGGGTAGCCTTGAATAGCTCCTTGACCACTTCAAGTTCCACACATAATCCCATTTCCAACCCCCGGCCTTAACCACCCCTCCTAACACTATATGGCGCCCTTACTCACCCTTCAATGCGTGTGGGGTACATGGACCCGAAGGATGTCTGGCTCTCATACTGGAAGGATGAGCACAAATAAAAGGACTTTGGGTGCCCTCTTAAGATACCACCCATGCGACCAATCTGTGGGCCTTTTGGGCCACTGATATCCCCACCCCATCCACTCTTTTAGAATGGCCCCTGACCTTGGCGTAGCAACGCTCCATGTGGCGCAAGGCAACACGTGGGTTGATGGGATGCCCGCAGGAGACACAGAAGATCTGCAGATCTGTGTCGTCACTGTCATTCTCATTGTTCTGTATGGGGAAAAGAATGATGAGGCCAAGCAGGGCAAGGTACTGGTTCCTGCCCTGCTATGATGGCATGGCTATACATCTTTTTACCTCCTCATCCTCACGCACAGCCTGCTGCTTAGCACGAAGAATAATAGCTTCAAGCTCGTGGAATCTGCGCTCCATTTCTTGAAGACGAGTGCGGGCACTCTGCTGCTCACGGCGGATGCGTTCAAGGAGCTTCTTGCCGTGCTCTTCAGCAATGCAGGGGCTTTGCTGCCACTGCTGGATGCGCTGCGGGAGGATCTCATAGATTCGGCTGCAGGGAGACAGTGAGGTGCAGCAGGGAAGCACCAAAAGCAGTTTAAGTGGGGTGAGCAAGGGACAGACAATGAAACGGTACAATGATGAGTGGGTGAGTGGTAGGGGGAAGGGCAGATGGTGACTGAATGGTGGGTTCATATGGCCATGGGGGGCTTGATTGCACAGTACATAGACTGCTAACTGGAGAGAAAGTCTGGCCATGTCTGTTCTACTTCCTGACTCCCTTCAGTGCCCCAGGAAAACTCACTTGGCCGCCAGCTTCATGCCACAGTCATCTGAGCAATACTTGGAACCAGGCTGGGCAGCACGCACACAGCCGGGCCCCAGGCACTGTGGCAGTGATGCAGGGTCCTTGGCATCAGCCCTCTCTGGGTGTTTCCATTTGTCTTTATGCTTCTGCTTCTGTCGATGTCGTTTATATCGCTCCTCCTTCTAAGGGGCAAGACATGTCATGTCATGGTGCAGCAGAGGTTAGCCTCGGGCCTTCTCTGCTTCTCCACTCCAGCCTTTTGGCTCTCTCCCTCTTCAGCCCCTGACTTCTCCATCTCCCTTCCTGCCCCATCCTTCCTTTAACACCCATTCCCTCTCCATCACCTTCTTCTCAGACTTCTTCTCTCGACGCTTCACGTGCTTTACTTTCACGGCCCGTTTCCTCAGTGCAGGGTCCAGGAATGGGGACTCTTCTGCGTCACTCATCCAGGGCTGCAAGCAGGGCATGCACTGACCCACCTGACAACTCAGGACAACAGCCCCTACCTACTCATTTCCCAAAGCAGCCTTATGTGCCCTCCACCTCGTCTTTCCCATGCTGTGACTTCACTTTGTCCCATTTCTTCCCGACCTCAGGATGTTCCTGCTACTCACTAGGCCATGATCATCAAAGGCTCCGGCACAGAAGTCCTGGTACAGATCAGGGTCCAATGGCAGGTCCTCATCTGAAAGTGGGTCAGGTGTTGCTGTAGTCTCTGGTAGCTCCTTGACCGTGGATGACAACACTGTCCCCTCATCTTCACGGATGCGTCCTAGCTTCTGAGATGGCTGTGGCTGCTGTTGAGTGGGTGGTGGCCGGCGGGGCCTTGGCAGGGCCTCTGAGGGCGTCACCGGCGAGAGCTGCGGGGCAGAATCTCAGGACTGGCCCTGACCGCCCTGCCCGCATGCCCTGCCCCGCCCTGGGGGGCTGGACTCACCGAGGAAGGGAAGTACTTGTACGATTCCTGTGCGCAGGAGGAAGGCCTAGGTCAGCCCCAGGAAAGTGGAGGATCACCCTGTCCTATCCCCAACTACTCATCCTTGCCTGACCTCGCCAAATGTAGTTTTATCCCTCCCCTCACCTCAGAGATATGCTCAGCCCTACCTGTTGTATCCTGGCATGCCTGACTACCTAAAAATTTATGTCCCTGCCAGCTAGTTATGTCATGTGGCATTCACCTGAACATGCTAGGTCCCCTCCCACTCATCTGGACATAATGAAGACCCACCCCACCTGCACTTTCTCATCCATAGCTCAAGCAGTCCTACTTGGGCCTCCCAGCCATGCTCTCCCACCTGAATCTGCCCAGCTCTGTCCATACTCACCCGTGCCCGCAGCTGACACTGGCGAAGCCGGCACTTCTGCCGGATCTTGTTGGGGCCCCCGAACTTCTTCATGTCACGGCAGAAGTCACAGTGGCCACAGTCTTCTGTGCGCCGGCACGCCTCACACTCACCACACATGCGGGCTGACCGTTTGATTTGTTGCTGTTGTTGTTGCTGCTGCTGCTGTTGCTGGTGATGCTAGGAGTCAATGCACAGAGTAGAGATCAGGAACCCAAATGGAGGCCGGAGCAGAATTTCAGCCACCCCAACCACCGCAGTCACTCACCTGGCTAGGTGTAGCCACCAAGGGCTGTGGAGAGGATTTGTGGGGCGAAGCAGAGCCCCGAGCAAGTATGGTCCCAACCCCTGTCCCTGCCCCTGCCCGGCGCTGCAAATCTGGATCTGAAGCAGGCCTCTTGCGCCCTCCTCCCTCGTCCCGGGGCTCACTGCCGGCCCGTTCACTGCCGGCCCGCTCACTGCCATCCCGCTCTCGGGACTTCTTGTGCCGATAACGAATCTCCAGCTTCGGGTCCTTCTCTGTGAGGCAAAGAGTAAGACCAAAGTGGATTTGCAGGAGGGATATGAATGATCCCAGAACCTTCTTCTCTGTTCCCACCCTCAGCTTCTTCTCCGGCTCATGCTATAAGAGAGAGCTGCCCCTTCCTCTAGGGTCCTCCATTATTGATCACATTGAAGATGGCATTCCAATTCACCAGAGACCAACAATCACTCAGTCCACAGAGGACACCTTGATTATCCATGATCCCTCCCACTATGGTTCCTCTTCATCTCTTGGAGCCCACCTGCCTTCCCCGCCCAGACATTGGGCTCACCTCGGCAATCCCGACAATACCATTCCCGGATGGCCTTGGCCATCTTCTCAGTGATCCGGATGCAGTCCCCATGGAACCATTCATTGCAGTTGTCACATCCACTGCATATAACGGAGCAAGTGGTAGAGACATGAGGGGTGCACTTCTTCAGGATCCCCCAACCCCGACAGGCATCAGCCCGCCCGCCAGCCCGCCTCTCCCTAGCTCACATCATGAAGCAGTTGATGTCTGGTTTGCGGCAGATGCAGTAGATAGGAGCATTCTCCCCATTCTCAGACTTGCTGTCCTCCCCAGCGTCTGGAGGCTCGAGGTCTGAACCGTCTCCTTCCTGTGAGACCCACCCCCCAACGACAACTCCTTAATTCCCACTTACAGCTCCACTACAGCTCAACACAGGTTCCGACTGTGTCTTTGGACGTCCTCCCCCTCATAGCTTCCCATCAGCCTCTCCACCACTGTTCACCCAGACCCTCATCACTCAACCCTGGGCCTCATTACTTTGGCTTATACTGCTCACCCCTCACACACCTCACTGACGGGCATCCTGTCACTCTACCCGCTCATCACAAACACTTACCACATTGTCACCTTCAAGAGTTCTACCCAGAAGCAACTTGATCTATTCTGCTGCCGTCCCATCCCGGCTTCCAAGTCTAAGTTAGTTCACAGACCCCACCCCACCCTCTACCCCCAATGACGGTTCTCCAGAGCCCGTGTAACACTCATGGCCAAATCCTCATCTCTCTGACCAGGACCCTCACGTGAAGGCGTGCCATAAATCTGCTGTCTGGAGTAACACTGTGGACCCCCTACAACGGTTCATCAAAGAACTCACAGACGGTTCGCCTCAAACCCCAGCACACACCTTTCGCCATGGGCCCCCAGCTCAGCTCAGCAGAAACCCCATGCGCCTCGCCAACAGGCAGCAGTTGCCAACCCCGCCGGCCTCTGCCTCGCGGCCGCCCGGCACTCACCATATCTCCGCTCACAGCGCAGCCGCTCTGGACCCCCGGCAGCACCCCGCGAACCGAACGAGCCCCTGGGCAGCTTTCCGCGGCGGTGGCAAAGGCGCCCACAAACCACTTCCGCTCCCGGTCCCGCCCCCGCCGCACCGCACTCTCGGTCCTCTCGCCCGGGACGACCGCTCAGCCGCGGACAAACAGGTCGCCCACCGACAGCGGCGAACGTCGCCCAGGCGCCGCCATCTTAACCATCGAGTCCGTAAGGTAGCGAACAGCGTACGTTCCGGGAGTATGGCCGCGCCCAGAATGCAGATCCTCCGAGCGCGCCGCCACCCTCCCAGTCAAAGTCCGTACGGTGGCCGCCAGAGGGCAACATGGCCGCGCTTGCTTCGCGGCTGCGACGCAGACGTCATCAGCTGTTTACGCCTAGTCGGGCGGGCTCCTAGGCAACGAGCGGCAGCTTCCGGTTTGCTGCCAAAGGGCGTGGCCTTCTTGATAGTTGACTTGGTAGGTTGGGTGCTGCTGCCACTGACAGGATAACTCTGTTACTGCCTAGATCATGTCTCATTCATTCTTCCATCCAATTATTTTACCCTTCGACATTTATCAATGGGATGCCAGGCCTGCGCAGAAGAAATAAATGTCGTGTTGTAGTCGCAAAGTTGTTTATCCACTTTTTACCCTCCTCGCCCTTCATATTTTTCAGCCAGATCTGACTTCATTTTCCTTTTGTTTTGTTTTGTTTTGTTTTATTTTACGTTTCGAAAGGGTCTATCCCTGGCAGTCCTTAACTCGCTGTGTAGACCAGGCTCGTCTCGAACTCACATAACCATCTGCTTTTGCCTCTCAAGTACTAGTGAAAGACCCCTACTATGCATATTGCCTGTTTGAGCTGCTCTTGCCAACTTGCCAAGATCAAGTTATAGGAAAGTACAGGAGGGAACCAGATGTTCCTCTCATCTGACACCAACCAGATATCTGTGGTCCGCAGCTTGGACCAAAGCAAGGTCAGCAAGATGATATCCGGGAACAGAAGGTCCTGGGAGCATTTTATCAAGACCACCAGAATGCTGAGATAGTCATAACTGAATTCTTTGTGCCCAACCCAAACAAACAACTCTGTCCTTGGTTAACCACAATCGCTTTATTTAGATGAACCAATAAAATCCCTGTAACCATTCAAAACAGCTGGACAAAGCAACCTTGCAGACTACAGCCAGGATTTCTGCATCTTCTTAGAATCCCCCATGACAGCACCCCTTACCAGCAGGAAGTAGTTTGGAAAGAACGACACCCAAATTCCCAAATATTGTCTATAAATGTTTGTTTTCATTTAAATGGACTTGGTTATAAAAAATAAATAAGTAAATAAATAAATAAGTAAAAGAAAGAAAGAAATCCCTGTAACCATGCTTCTGCTTTTGTAAGCCAGCTTCTTGCCACCCCAACTGACGGGCTCAGACTTCTCCCCCGCCACCCCAGGGATTTGGGGAGCCCGATTTTTCGGGGTTCGCAACGAATCTGAGGGATTCGTTGTTCTGTCAGAGACGGGACCTATAACCTTCCCTGCCTCCATCTCAGTATTTGGTTTCGGTTTTACGCCGAAAACACGCTGCTCGTCTTTGTGCCGGCTGTCTATGTGTTTTGTCTGTTCTGTCTATCTGTCTGATTCTATATTTTGAAGAAAATATGGGACAATCTTTAACCACCCCCTTAAGTTTAACTTTAGATCATTGGAATGAGGTACAGAGCCGCGCTCACAATCAGTCAGTTGATGTGGGGAAGAAGAGACTGCAGGGGACTCCCCGGTAGCCGTCCGACTCCGTGGTCGAAGGGAACCAGCCATGGAAGGAACCTCTTTCCGCTGCCGGATTAGGAGGCCAATTTCAATACTGGCCTTTCTCGGCCATCCGACCTTTATAATTGGAAATCTAACAACCCCTCCTTCTCCAAAGACCCTGTAGCTCTCTCTAACCTAATTGAATCCATCCTAATAACCCATCAACCCACTTGGGATGATTGCTAACAGCTTTTGCAGGTCCTCCTCACCTCGGAAGAAAAACAATGTGTCTTCCTGGAAGCCTGGAAGAACGTCTTGGGGGACGACGGGAGACCCACACAGTTACCTAATGAAATTGAGGAATTTTTCTCCTTAAATCATCCTGATTAAGACTTTAACACCGCCACAGGTAGGGGACACCTATGTCTTTATCGCCAGTTACTCATAATGGGCCTCTGCGGCGTGGGACGCTGCCCCACGATTTTGGCTCAGGTAAGACAAATAACCCAGGGACCAGAGGAAACTCTGACTGCATTTTTGGAGAGGCTAAAGGAAGCCTACCGTATATATACACCCTTTGATCCTGATAGTAACGAACAGAGGGGCAAAGTTTCCATGGCCTTCATATGGCAGTCAGCTCCGGATATCAGGACCAAACTGCAAAGGCTAGATAATTTACAAGATTATAGCCTGCAGGATCTTGTAAAGGAAGCAGAAAAGATCTTTAATAAGAGAGAGACACCTGAAGAAAAAGAAGAAAGACTTAGAAAGTTGCAGGAGGAAAGAGAGGACAAATTAAAGAAAGAGCTAGAGGAAAGAGAAAAAGAAAGAGATCATAGGAACCGGAGAGAGTTAAGCAAAATTCTGGCCACCGTAGCTCAGAATAGCCATAGTGCAGGAAGTCAGGAAAGAAAAGGAGACATAAGGAAGCCCCAGGTAGATAGAGACCAATGTGCCTACTGCAAAGAAAAAGGCCATTGGGTCAAAGATTGCCCTAAGAGACCCAGAAATCAGAGATGCAGAGATGGCCCTCAGAGACCAACTCAGCTTCTAGCCCTAGATGAAGACTAGGGCGGTCAGGGCCAGGAGTGCCCCCCCCAGCCCAGGCTAACCTTAAGAGTCGGGGGACAACCAGTCATCTTCCTGGTAGACACTGGAGCCCAACACTCGGTTCTCACCGAAAAGGATGGTCCACTGAGTACCAAACAGCTTGGGTACAAGGGGCCACCGGAGGAAAACAATATCGATGGACCACGGAGAGAAAAGTTCACCTCACATCAGGTAAAGTCTCACATTTCTTTTTGCATGTACCGGACTGTCCATATCCGTTACTGGGCTGAGATCTACTGACCAAATTAAAAGCCTAGATCCATTTTGAAGGATCAGGAGACAAAGTCTCTGGCCCACAAGGGGCTCCACTTCAAATATTGACTTTGCAATTGGAAAATGAATATAGACTTTTTGAAAAGGCTCTGGAGCAGTAGGAAGGAATGAACTTATGGTTAAAACAATACCCCCTGGCCTGGGCAGAAACAGGGGGCATGGGGCTGGCCATACAACAAATTTGCTGTGACCTCCTCTCTCAATCTCTCTCTCTCTCTCTCTCTCTCTCTCTCTCTCTCTCTCTCTCTCGTGTGTGTGTGTGTGTGTGTGTGTGTGTGTGTGTGTGTGAGATTGCCATTTCTCAATACTTAATCTGATCACCTAAAATTGGTGTTTCCTGGGCCAATCTCCATAATAAGTGTAGGCAGATTTTTCTGTTCCTCCAGATCCTAAATTATTACACAAGGACTTCTTATTAATTGTGTAAGCTCAGCTGATAGCGTAAGCTTGTTACTAACTAGCTTTTACAGCTTAAATTAACCCATTTTTTTTCATCTATTTGCTGCCCCAAGGCTTGTTTACATCATCTACTTTCACCCTATCTTGCTTGCTCTGTATCTCATGGCATCTCTTCTTCCCAGCACCCTGTCTGCCTGAACATCCTGCCTAGTTATTGGCTGGCCAGCTTTTTATTGAACCAATCACAGTGACTAATCTTTACACAATGTAATCAAATATCTCACAACAACTGTGGGCTTGGATAATCTTTTTTCTGCACAACGATGTGTGAGACTCTGAGTTTTAGGATGGCAGAAAATTTCCAAATGATATTTTAAATAAAACTGCAACAAGAGTTAACATAGGTTCATACTTATTCCTGACCTGACAAACCTCTTAGAGTTTGCAAAATTAAAAAGAAAACCTAAAGAAACTTTGCAGATTTCCTTGCTTTTGGTTATTTGCTTGAACTACCAATAATACAGATCACATAACTAAGCAAATATAGAAAGATATATGAATGATAGACAGATAGATAGATGATAGATGGATAGATAGATAGATGAATGATAGTCTTTCTACATAACTCTGGTCGTCTTGGGACTTACTATATAGAACAGGCTGGCTTCACCCTCACAAACTCTGCTTCCTGAGTGCTAAGATTAAAGGCATGCAATACCATGCCCAGCCTAATCAATGCATTTTGTTATAATCTCCATTGTATAGTTAGTTCACAGTGACAGTGGTTGCTCAACTGTTTTTCCATCTATGGAGGGCATCTATGTCTGTCTTAAACCCGAAGAGTCTCCAAAGAGATGCCTCAAACAATAAAAGCAGTAACTACACAAGCTTGATTGTAGTGTTATGTTTTACTCTTTGGGCTTTTGGGGGGGGTGTTGTTCCAAATAAATCACACACAGAGTCTTGTTATTAAATATGAATGCCTGGCCTTAGCTTGGCTTGTTTCTAGAAAGCTTTTCTCATTTTAAATTATCCCAACTACATTTTGCCTCTGAAATATCTTGCCCTATCTATCACAACACACACACACACACACACACACACAATTTTCATACAATGTATTCCTAGCAGCCTGGAAGGAATTCTGTTCCCTCAGGCACTGGGTCTGCTGCTGCTGCTAAAGAGAGCTTTAACTAAATCTCAATCATTCTATTTATAAATAAGACTTGAAATTCAAAGGCTAGAGTGAAAACCTGCTAGCTCAAAGAGGTTGAATAGCAACTAGATAACCCTTCCTTGCTGGTGTCTCCAAAGAAAGGGTTCTTTTTGCCAAAACAAAACAAAAACAAAACAAAACAAAACAACAACAACAAAAAAAAAACACTCCACTACAAATCCCATCCTACTACTTCCAGTGTATCTCTCCATATATTCCAGATGCCTTCTGATGCTCTACAGTTACTTTCTGTCAATGAATTGCTAACTCAACCTCCTGACAAGGTTAATTTTATTTAATTAAAGCAAATGCAAGCTTTGGGTTCACAGTGTGACTAAATATCCCCAACAATGCCTTACAGCTGGATCTTATGGAGCCATTTTCTCAATTGAGGTTCTTTCCTTTCAGATAGATCTGCCTTGTGTCAAGTTGTTATAAGACTTTTTGGGACATCTTGTGTCTCAGGAATCTTGTTTATCAGATACATGTTTCCCCATTGCTTCCTAAAGGGCCATCAGCCACAGGCTACAGAATATCTACTGCCCATAACCTGGCTTGATGGGGGCAGGCAGAGATTCCCCCCCAGCAGGCTCGGCTCAGGGACCCTGAACTAACCAAGACAGGAAAAATCTCCTGAGAGGAGGGATCTGCCCTCAAACTTTAAGGAACCCTATAAAACCCATTTGCTTCCCCCTGTCAAGCTGCTGTTCTTCACACTCGTGAGATAGCCCAGCAGTTTGTTCCCCAATAAACTTTTATCTACCCATGGTGGTCTTGTTCAGTGAGTTCACTACACTCCCTATGACACTCTTGTTGGGTGGCTCACAACAACCTGTAACTCCAGATCCGTGGGATCTGTGATGGTTTGAATGAGAATGGCTCCCCATAGGTTCATATATTTGAATGCTTGGTCACCAGGTAGTGGCACTATTTGAAAGTATTAGGAAGTGTGGTCTTGTTGGAGTTAGTATGTCACTGGAGGTGGGCTTTAAGGTTTCAAAAAAGCCCATTCCAAGGCCAATCCCTGTCTTCCTGCTGCCTGCAGATCCAGATGTAGAACTCTCAGCTACCATGTCTGCCTGTGTGTTGCCATGCTCCCTGCTATGATGATAATGGACTGAGCATCTGAATCTGTAAGCAAGCCCCAGTTAAATGCTTTCTTTTGTAACAGAGACTCTGACAACCTGTTCTGGCCTTCCAAGGCACGTGGAGTCACATGCACAGACTCCACACAGACACGGAAACATACTTAAAATTAATAAATAGCAAAAAAGGTTTAACTGGGTGTAGATCTCTCTGATTTTGGATAACTTAGTCTATTAGGCTTTGATGACTGTTCTTGGTTGTCAATTTGACTACACCTAGAATAAACAAAACGAAACAAAACAAACAAACAAAACTGGGTACACCTGTAGGGGATTTTTTTGTTTGTTTTTCAAGACAGCGTTTCTCTGTATTGCTTTGGATCCTGTCCTAGAACAGGCTCTTTAGACCAGGCTGGCTGGCCTCTAACTCAAATCATCTGAAGTGGGAAGACCCACCTTTATTCTGGGCTACACTTTCCCTGATTAAAGTGGTGGTAGATTCAAAGGACATAGAACAAGGGATCTTTATGTTCTTTTTGCCTGATTGCCTCTCAATGGGTTGTCCACTTCCTAACTGCCATTAGAGACTACTTCTTTGGGATTCCACCATTTATTGGATGGTTGTTTTAGATCCTTTTCCTGTTGCTGTAACAAGAATAATACCTGACAGAAGCCACTCAAGCAGGAGTGAGTAGCTGGAACTCTTCACACCTCCACAGACCAGAAAGCAGAAATCATACATTCAGAAAACCTCAGTGACTGCTCCAAGTCACCCACTTCCTATAGTGATGCTTTTGTCCCTAAAGATGGGTTCCACCCTCCTCCCCAACAGTGCCACCAGCAGTAGACCCAGTAGTGGTAGTGTAAGCATTTAAACTCATGAACATGAATGAAAGTGGGGGACACTTTTCATTCAACCACAATGATCTTGCCTATATTCAGGGCAGGTCTCACTCCTTTGGGTCATTGTTTCTAGAAACCTCTCAGGTGTGTGCTTTACTTTTCTCCTAGGAATCTCTCAGTCCAAGTTGACAGGCAAGATTTTCCCTGTTTTCCTCAGACTCCTACTTCCTACTTGTTGAGAAGTCTGCATAATAGTGTAATCACATGCCTATTAGGTTCTGTTTTTCTTCTTTTCTTCCTGCTCCTTAACACCAATAATGCTCATTGCTAGTTTCAAGATCCAGGAAAATACCTTAAAGGTGCCAGGGGTGGGAGGGTGGGGGCTTGGGGGGTGAGTCTCACCCTCATCTCATCCTCCTCATTGCCTGGGACAAAAGCTTGATGACCGACAAGTAGTTGTCTTGCAAGGATGGCAAGAACTTGGGCATTTGATGACTGTGGAGTTAGTATCCTCACCCTAGAACACTTTCTTCCTTTTCTCAGCAGTGAAGATTAAACTTTTAGAATGTGAAGTAGCACATTTCCTTATGTCATTTCATATATACTTACTTGGTTATAATTGGCCCTTCTCACTCTCCCCATCCCCACTTCAACCCTCACCTCCTCAGTATCCTCATATCATAAATGTTTGCAGTTTTAAATATTGACCTTTATAGGTAAATACAAACACCATAAAGGCAGAATCTTTGAGCTCACCAATCCGGCTGCTTTTGGAATCTTACCGGAGCATTTTAAAAACATGCTCTGACTGCCTGAGCTCAGGATTTCCGCACAGTCACTGATGTTTGTAAAAGTTGCCCCTGATGAACTGTGCAGCAAATTCTGAGAACTACTGAACAGCTCGTTTTATGTCAAGCTCCAGCCAGATTCAAAACGCAGCCTTTCCATACTGGAAGCGAGCCAATCCTGTCCTAGGCCCCGCCTCAAGCCCCGCCCCCAGGCCCCGCCCAGACGTCGCTGAGTAGAGCGGAAACTCGTTTGCTAATTGAGTCTGCGCAGTTGAGAAGCGCGTTTATGCGCTTGCGCGGCGCCAACTCCCGCAGACAATTTGAATTTTAGTGCGTGCAGTACTTTTCACGGTTTGGCGTCTTGGCGGTATCCTTTTGCGATCACTCTCCCAGCCGCAGCGGAGAGTCTTCGCTCCCAGAACCGGCGAGGTCCCCGACCCGGAAGCTGCCCGAAGCATCGTTTAGCAGGTGAGCGCACCGGGCGGCGCGGAGGATCGGCTCCCGTCTTCTCCCACTTAGGTTTCCAGCCAGGCGCAGCTGTCCTGGATCTGGCTTGAACTTGACGCTGTCGTGCCGCAATGTCAAAAGATTGGACACGCTTGCTCAGATCGGCATCTTTTCACTCACCCTTACGAGGACTTTTCGCTATGGATTTTTCGCTTCATCTCACGCCCAGAATGTGAGGCCGCGACTCCCACATTCAGCCCGGAGGAAGATGGTAGCTCTGGTTTATTTATGGTGTCTGGATATCCAGCAGGAGCCTCCAAGACATGTTACCAAAAAAAAAAAAAAAAAAAAAAAAAAAAAAAAAAAATGCCCTCGAATTGTGTTCTTTCTTTTCAAAAAACAATGTTGTTGTTTACTATTTGTAGGTTTTGAAAGTGAATAGAAATTTAACTTTTCGTAACGTTTTTTAAGAAAGCGTTTCTATGTGTTTTATTCAGACGCTTGAAGGATGGCCTCAGATCTAGAACAGTTATGCTCTTACGTTAATGAGAAGATTGACAATATTAAGAAAATTCTCACGATAAGAAATCTTGGTAAGCGACATTGACCCACTGCTTTGGGGTACACACCTTACTTCTTTGATTATTCTGTTGTGAATGTCTCTTGGTAAGGTAATTTTAGATTTCCAGTAGTGAATTTTTGTTTCAAATAATGCAGAGTCGATATTAAATAATGGATGAATATTTAACTTTACTTACTTTTTCTTAGACATTAGTCCAACTTATAGTAAGGTTTGAAGGGGATGTATTATCCATGGTTCTAGAGCTAACTGGAAATAAAAATAAAAATAAAACGAACCAACCAAATTAAAAATTTCTAATGAAAAGATCTATTAAGGGTGAAGTAGCCCATTACCAGTTATCATCATGTTTAGAGGAAGCTTATCCCTGTGTATCAGGGTAAAACAGATAGTTGAAAATAAAATTGTTAAGGCGTAAAAGTCAAACAGATAATCCTTGTCAAGTCTAAAATGTTTTCAAAATCAAGTTTCCTGGCTTTGTCCAGTAGAGTTCAAAGCCTTCTTAGTAGACAGAGTTGTCTTCTTGAAAGATTGTGGAGATTTTGCTGTAGTTTGTGATGTGGTTTTAATTTTCTTCGACATGAAATTCTGTTGGATATCTCTCCTAGAAATTTGGTATTGTTCAGTCCTTACTTGAAACTCCTATTAAAAGAACTGGTTTATTTTGTGGCTCATGGTTCACACTCTATAGAAAGTTATCTGTGAACTCAACATGCCAAGCCTCTCATTTTATTCTCAGGGAAATCACAACTCCAAAGAGGCTTGCCCAAATCATCCTGAGTTTTTGAACACTCAGGTAGGATGATGGCTCTCAGTCTTAATTCCTGCATAGCAAGCCCTCTCATTTTACACTCAGGGAGACCAAGACTCCAGCTCCTGAACACTCAGGTGGTTCTCGGTCTCAATTCCCACTTCGTATCTCTCCACTCATATGCCACTTTTATTGGGGAAAAAAAAAAAAAAAAAAAGTCTGGTCAGGCATAGCACATACCTGTGATCCTAACACTCAGGAGACACTGGCAGGCACAGGTGAATCTGTGAGTTCAAGATCAGCTTGGCTTACTTATTGAGCTCCAGGGCAGCCAGGACTAAGTAGAAAAACACTGTTTAAAACAAAACTAAAAGGAAATTGGAACTGACAGCTCTGTCTTAGAAAATATTTGGGTTGGAAAGGACAAGTTCCTGTTTTGTTGTTATATGCAGTTTCTATGCAGTAGCCGGGGCTGCCCTCAAGCTTAAATCCTCCTGCCTCAGCTTTGTCAGTGCAGGGCTTACATGTATGGGCCACCAGGCCTGACGTAACTTTCATTTTAAAGTAGCAAGGAAGAGAAGGAGGATAAAAGCAAGTAAGTATAAAGTGTTTCCTGCTGCTTTTATTTTTGGCAAGTCCTTTCACTATAACAAAACACCTAGAAATAATAAGCACCTGCATACAAGCATTCATGAGGGAGAGGTTAGTCTTCCTGGGCTGACATGAAATGGGACTCACAGACACCAAGTAGGACTTGTGGGCATTGGTGACAACATCCCCATCAGTATGAAAGAATGCTAGAGAGGAGGTTCTGGTCTCAGTGACCACCTACCCTTGACTTTACTGAAGACAAGAGCCAATAACTTTGAGGCCTCAAACCACAGGGTGACAGAAATGAAAAAATCTCAAGAGAGGCTGTTACCCTGCTTCGGAGGACACATTATTAAAGATTGACCTGAAAAACTTGAAGCTCCAGGGCAATGAACTCATGCTTAGACTACTCAAGTGTTGCTTGTATAGAGCTCCAAGACTAAAGGCAGGGTAAGCTTGGAGTTCATATTTGCACCATCTCTACTCCTCAAAACCTTCAATCAGAGATAGAAACCAAAACATCTAAGTCCAACATAAAAATACAGAGCAGGTACCTGTTTTGGTTTTTATATACTTTGTTTTCCATTTCCTCTTTATAACAGGCCAAGCACCTTCCTTGAAGACCACCTTAAGTAAAATAGAAGATGAGATCATTACAGTAAATGAATTTCTAAATAATCTTGAGTTGGAAATTCAGTATCAAGAACAAACCAACAAGTCACTTAAGGTAATGCTTCCCTAACTGGAAAACTGAAGGCAGTAAATACAGACTACCTAATCACCAGATCATTTTTAAGGATCCTTTGTTTGCAGTATTCTCACCTTTGTAAATTAGTCTAAAGAGTAACTTTTGTGTTCCGAATGCCAACTTTTTCTGTGTGCTAACGGCCAATAGCATAGAACTTTTACTAGAAGGGAAGTTTCTAAAGAATTTTTTATAGGTAGGTTTAGTGTAAACAAATGATGCCCTGGGAGAATGCTGAGTGGAGAAGACCTGCTCAGGCGAGGTGTAGGTTTTTACCTTGGGTGCCCTGGGTGCTCTCTTCCAGGCTGAGAAAGCCATTTTACCTCTTGAGGTCTCTCATCCTCTTTTAAAGGGTAACAGAAAACTGAAAAGACTATTTCTTAGCTGCTTTCTGTCTGTTTATTTCTATCAAAGAAGAGAACAATTCATTTGAGAAAAGCTGAACTTTTTGTTCTAAATGAGGCTCCTAATTAACTTCAGCCAATAGGAGTTTGTGTACTTTCTAACAAGGTAAACAATCGACACCCAAGCTATGTCTTGTTGGCGCCATTGTAGTGTTCAATGAGGTTGAAAAGGGTAGCCTCCAAGGTCCTTCAGCCTGCAGTCTTCACAGTCTGAGAAGACTTTTCAGCTCTAGACATACTTATCCCCAGCCGAAAATAAAGAGTGGCCATGAGCATAATTTAGTTTTTGAAATGAAAGATGTCATAGGTTCAAAATGGAAAACAGTATTGCTCTATCAGTTTCCATCTGTGCAAGAATATGCAGGGTTACATGAGAGTGTTCACTTGAGACATGAAGTCTATTCACATTATGGTTGACCAGGTATCAAGAACCCAAAAATATAGACTATTTTTTTCCTGAATTAAAATTTACATGAGTTCATTACCCCCATGTTCTAGTAGAAGTTAAATAAAACACACATTGTACAGAGACACACACTATATATAATTTCCCCACACTGTACACACAGAGAGAGAGAGAGAGAGAGAGAGAGACGAGAGAGACATACTCACACCAAACAAACATCTCTTGTCTGGGTTGACCTCAGTCATTCTGGTGCTGTTTCACAGGCAGCACTGGGAAACATGAGCTAACTCAATAAGAGCAGTTTGCCAGACTGAAAAGCATTGATATCTCATCTGTTTCTTAGTTGCTTCCCAAGGTTAAAGTATTTGGGAAAGACTTAAACTTCAACCCAATCTCACACTTGTACTATGATTGATTATAGTACTTGTTCTCTGAAAAAAGAAAAAAAATCCCAATAGAAAAATATCATCTTCTAGAAACTCTGGAAATTACAGGGCAGGTCTCCCCTCTCATGCCCAACTCCCACCCCCTTATTTTCTTGTGTTGGAGATCAAGCCCAGGGCCTTGTACTTGGTTGGCAGTGCCCTTAAGTCCTTCATTATTATTTTGTTCATTTGTATTGCTGCATTTGGTGCTTTCCCACTGCATTCTGTGTTCTCAGCACTTACACGGACTGTGAGTGTGGCTTGCAGTCTGACCTGCCTGCGTACACATATCACATGTGTAGAGGGAGGAAGCCATGCTCACAAGCATTTCTGAAACTTAGGAGCTCTGTGTATCTCTTGAAGAGGATTTGAAAGATGTAGAGCATCTCAAAGAACACATTCCGTCCCATTTGCCACAAGTGACAGTCACCCAGAGCTTGTAAGTACATTCCTGATTCTTGCTGTCTGGAGTTGTTTGTGGAAACAAACACCTCAGTTGTCTTCTGTCATGTACTTGAATTTTTTGTCAGGGTTTGATCAGTGTCTTAAACCACACTTAATCTGTCTCCTCCAGTTTCCTCACTCTACACCTCTGAGGAAAATGGTCCCTCTCCCCAAGCAAGGCTCCCCTGCAACCCTCCACACCCCACACACCCCCTTCATCTTAGACTTTCAGGTTTTGACCAGAACATGCTTTGCTTTGAGAATAGAGTATTTAGTAGCATCACTGTCTCCTTCCACTATATACCAGTCTCATGTCTCCTCCGAACATCAAGATTTTGACCTCTGTGTAGTATCTCCATTACCCCTTGGGAGCCAGGGAAACCACTCTGCCTTTAGGGTAAGCTAAGCACAGTGAACCATCAGCTTTACACTTGCCATTCTCCCAGAGGCCCTCATGCCTGGCTTTTAGCTATCTCTGCCACTACTCTTGTACAAACGATGACTTGAAGGTTTTAGAGTTTGTCCTCTGTTCCATGTCTGTGTTCCTCGATCGCACACTTTGTTTCTAGGTGTTAGTCCATGCTGCCCCAAGCTTCCTGGCTGTAGTCCTGCGTTCCTCAGATGTGGCTGCCTCCTTTCCTCCTCCCCTTCCATGAAAGATAAACCTCCCTGACTCTGGTAGTCAGTGCTCCGAAATGTCCAGTTCTTGTCTTAACTTAATTCAAGTGTTCTTGTGGCCTGCTGGAAATCTGATGAAGAGCTGTTTTCTCTCAAACCTTGCAGGTCCAAGGCTGAATTCAGAAACTCTCTTATTGCCTGTATATGTATCCAATCTAACCGCCTTTTTTGTTTGTTTGTTTTATTTTTGCTTTTTTAATTGCCTAGACAGGGCTTCTTGATCTCTCTTAGCTACTAGCTGTCCAGTATGTCTCTCAGGTGGTCTTTTCTACTTCCTTGTTCCCATTGCCTGGCTCTGAATGAGATCTTTTTTTTTTTTTTTTTTTTAAGAGTCTCTATGTTGTGCCTGCCCTCAGCTCTCCAATCCTGACACCAAAATTGTGTTTCTAAAAGGTGTTTTCAATAGGTACAAATATTCTATGGTCAACTTAATTTTTTAAGTGTATCGTGTAGAAAAGTGATTATAGTAGTATATGTAAAACTTGAAGAATAGTCAGTATCCTTGTATGTATGAGTCAAATTTAGAACAGTATAATACCAGTACCATAAAACACTTGTGATGCAGACCCTTCCTGTAGCGATAAAGGCCATTCTGGCCTTGAGAATGCTTAGGATTTCTCTACAGAATAGACTGCCAAGGAAAGTCACAAGTGAATATTAGGGAAAATAGGTCTCCTGGTTATTAGTCAGGAATATAGAGTGAGATGGACATTGGATATCCAGAGGAATGTGGCTAGCAGAACAGCACTTCTGTAGGCCAGCCTTTGCTGTCCAGGTCAGGTCAAAGCAGTTTGAAATAGGTTAAAGATGTTTTGGGTGGATACAGTGAGCTGGGCATTCGGGAGTCATCAGGTTGAAGATGTTTATGGTGGATACAGTGAGCTGGACATTCAGGAGTCATCAGCACATTCTTATCACATGATCAGGAATAGAACATGAGAAAAGAATCAGGTACATGGAAGAGTTGGCCAGTTTAGTGATGGAGGTCACATTAGCATTCACAGTATGGCACCATCACTGCTTGTTTATTTGTAATTTCTACCATAATTATACTACACAGCCAAGATAGTGTTTCAGATTTTATTGACAGCCCACAACAACCAGTTTGCTGTGTTCTGGGTCTGGTCCCTTGCTGCTCTCTTTCTGGGGGAATTCCTTCACTTGTTTCTGTGTTGAATCTACAGATTTTTGATCTGTTGTCTTTCTTGGAACATTTCAGCCACTGTGGGAACAGATGTCTCTTCTGCCTTGGCAGTTAGTCTAAAAGACACAACCTGTTTCTAGACTCCATTTGCCAGAAGAGTCTGCAATAGGTAGTGGCTAATAGTAACAACTAACAGAATACACCAGGATAGATGAAAGATGGCTGTTGTTTCTAGTTTCAGAACTAGGGAATTAAAGAAGGGAAGCTATTGGAGTTTAGTTCAGCTTTACATATGTCAACTTTGAGAAGCAAATGGGAATAAATACTGGTGAAGGTGTGTAATGTATATTTTGTGAATGACATGTTTTGGGTATATAAGTGAATAGACATACTCTGAAGATTTAAGAATTTAATTTTCTCAGTTCCTTTCACAATTTTGATATTCATTACCAATGGGTAGGGCTACTAAAAAAAAAAGTTGGCTATAAAATTATTAAACCAGGTTGAAGAAAAAAAAAGTATGGTGTGATATTTAATTCTATCAATTACCTGTGTGTGTATGTGTGTTTATCTCTACTCTGTAGGATTGACAAATCCGATCTGGATCCTAAAGAGCCAGTCAAATCTAAGGAACCTGTCCTGGCAAAGAAGCCTCCCAGAGAACAGAGAATTATAAAGGAAATGCAGTTTATAACCACTGATGAATTCAATGGTGTTCCTTCGTAAGTACTGAGTATAAATTCTAATGTGCAACACTACTAATCAACATGCATGATTGTTTAAGTCATGCAAAATTGTAATGTGATGTTGAAGCAAAAAGGCCAGGAAGTATTTGTGACAGGGTTTGACTATAGTTCTGGCTGGTCTAGAACTCATTATACAGATCAGGCTGACTTTGAACTCATGGAGATCCACCCATCTCTCCTAAGCACTGGGATTAAAGGCATGTGCTACTATACCCTTGTACTGTGTCACTTTGTGGTTTGGTGCCTGCCACTTTTCTTACATCAAATCCAGCGTTTTAGATACATTCACTATTTGCAGGAATACTATCATCAAGGGAAGGGAGAAATGTGGTTTCATTATTATCTCAAAAGGAAAAGTTTGTATGATGACTTTTAAAGAATAACTACATACATTGGAACATGAAGCCCTCAGTGGAAGGGCCTCCATTAAATTCCTCTCCTCGGGGCTCAGGGAACCCTACAGAAGAGGAGGCAGAAAGATTGTAAGAGCCAGAGGAGGTGGAGGACAGCAAGGAATGAAGGCCTCTAAGTCAGCATGACCAAAGCACATTTGGACTCAGACTGAGGCAGCATGCATGGGGCCTGCAGGGGTCTGCCTCGGGTCCTCTGTGTATATATTATCCAGTGTTTTTAGGGGATTCCTGAGTGTGTGAATGAGTGGGTCTCTGATTCTTCTGCCTTTTCTTGGGCTCTTTTTCTTCTGTTTGTCTAATTCCAATGTGTTGTTTTGTTTTACCTTATTGTTTAAAAAATAGAGGTGAATATTTATATAATTAAGGAAATATAAAAAGTAAAAAAGAATAACTAAATGCTTTTTTTAAAAAACAGGTACATGAAATCCCGTTTAACATATTGTCAAATTAATGATGTTATTAAGGAAATTAATAAGGCAGTGGTTAGTAAATACAAGATTATATATCAACCAAAAGCATCTTTGAGTTCTGTGAAGAGAAATCACTACCAAAGGTTTATTAATGAAGAAACAAAGGACACGAAAGGTAAAGTGATGGAATCTAAGTGAGTGCATGTCAACTGTTTGGAGGAGGGCAAACCCCAAATTCTAGAAAACAATGTTTCTGGAGAGCTAATGATATCCAGTCCAGCTAACACTTCACTGCGTGCTGGACAGCACTTAGCTTTTGTTTTTAGTCCGCAGAGTGCCTGTGTCCCATTTTGCAGACTAGACAGAGTTCTCAGCTCATCTAAGTTCTAGTTAGGTGATAGAGTTGCAGTGGTTCCTTTCTGTTTACTGTTTCCTCAGAATGCCTCTAGAGAAGTGTGCAGTTAAGACATACCAACACTGCTCATTGATAGCAGGGCTACCCTGGAGAAATGTGGCGGTGATGCTGTATAGCCTCACTTGATAGGACATTATTTTAGCAGGAAGACCATTTCCCACTGTGTTTTGTATTTGGATAGGGTTAGTAGAAGGACTCAGGTATGATGCTGTTAAAAACTGTGAGAACTGGATGCAAGGAAGTTAGAACCTGGTGTTTCTCTTTTCAGGTCATTATTTCATTGTGGAAGCTGACTTAAAGGACTTTACGAACTTGAAAATTGACAAGAGGTTATATGTGATCTTGAACATCTTGCGGCATTGCCAAAGGCTGTCAGAGGTTCGAGGGGGAGGACTTACCCGATATGTCCTAATCTGAGACTTTTGCAGGCTTGGGACTGTCTGGCAATAGGGTATAGAGCATAGTCTTGAAATTTCATACGTAATGTTATTAGCTACTACATTTCCTGGTCTTGTTTTTTTAACACTTATGTATTTTCAAAACATACTGTCTTTAGGAATGTGGATAAAGCTGGGACTCACAGTAAACACAAAAGCCAAAGTCAGAATGATAAATCTGATCTCATGTGGAACCCAAACTGAAATTATATATGTGCATGAGTGCAGATCATGAGACCAGAAAGTAAGGGGAAGGGAGAAACGGATGATAATGGCATGATGTGAGGACTATCTGGGAACTAGCCAATGGGCTTGGGGTAGAAGCACAGGGAAGGGCACGGCATGGGTTAGAATAAAGTATAATGACACATGATGTATGAAAATGTAATAATAGGACTCATTTCTTTGTTATCTCAAAAGTTAATTTTAAAATTTGATACTTTTTAGCAGATACTCAACACTACCAAATCTAGCCTGTGTATGAGGTGTGCAGTGAAAAGCACAACTAGTTCTGTTAAGTGGACAATACTGCAGATACTATGGGCATAGACTTGATGTAGGGGAAAATGAGGATACCCAAGCCCTCTGGGTTGTAAAGTCTGATTACTGATTTTCCCTGTGCCTTTAGGGAACAGCTTGCCTAAATTCAGTATAAGCCAGCCTGACTGCTTCAACCTGTAATGAAGTATATTGAGGGATTGTGATATTGTCATACAATAAATATATTACATGTTCACTTTCAGTTCTTTGTTTAGAGTTTCTAAAATCCTCATGGTGTTCTTAATGATAGGTGGGGTGCATCTTGTGTTGAGCCCAGTTCCTGACTGTCGTTCTCACTTGCCTTTGAATTTCCTCATCAGTGCATGTGTTCTGATTACAGCGGGTTGATTCTTGGATGGCTTTGAGGTGGGAGGGAGCTGGTTACTGGAAAGTCAAAGCCATGACTAGAAAGCTACAATTTCGAGCCAATCTCCATTCCCAGGGAGGGGATTGGGGCTGGAGATTAATTATTGATCACACCAATGGGCTGCATCTGTATTATATCCTTTACCTGTAAAATTTGGAGAGCTTCTTGGTTGGAAAATATATTGATATGCCAGGAAAGTGATGCACCCCAACTCTATGTGGACAGAAGTTCCTGCGCTTGAGACCTATTGAGGCAACCTCTTCATCCAACTGTTTATCTGTTTGCTCTTTAAAAGCCAAGTCCAGTGCTTTCCTGTATTTTTAAGTTGTCCTAGCAAAATTACAAAACCCCTAACAATGGAGCTTATATTAGTCAGAATTCTCTAAAAAGAATGGATCCAGTGGGATGGAAAATACATATATGAATTTATTAAGTCAGTTTTAGAATAGTAAGAACAACAAAATCACATTGGAGAAGCTGTGAATCGAGTAGTTATTTAGTTCTTGAGACTAGATGCCACAATAATTCAGGTGGTCCTACAATAATGGAGGGGCAAAAATGGGTAGTTACTTAGTTCACAAGGTAGGGGCCTCAGCAGTCCTATCTGCTGGGAACTACTGGTCCATGATGATAGCTTGGAAATGCTGGTGATGAATTGGCAGCAGTAACAAGGCAAATCAGCTTGGTGACAAGAGGGAAAGCCAGTTGAACAGGAGGCAAGATGGTCTTCCTGCTGAATCCCCTTTATATCTGGGCTGCCAGCAGAAGGTGCAGCATACAGTCAGGGTGGGCCTTCCCACATCATCAAGGTGATCTGGACTTGTCTAAAGGTGATTCTGATCTGTTGCAAGTTACTATTAAAGCAAGTGTGGATAGTCTGGGGAACCTATGTTGTGATGTAATCTGAAGTGGGGGTATTCTTGTGAGAGTTTGCCCTTAACCAGGGGCTACACTAACTCTAGGTGGTGTTAGCATTGGATTGTGGGATGCCTAGCTGCTATCCAGATTCTTGGAGAGTTGATACCCAAGGGGTGGGGAGGGGAAGCCCTGCATATTTGGGATCAGTATGTATAATAGAAGAAATAGCTTTTCCTAGTGAGATGAAAATGATAACCTGTGAACAAGTTGAAAAGGGTCATGAGAAAATGGTAATTGGATTCTAAGAACTTTGCCTAGTTCCTCTTCTGCACCTGGGGAGGCTGTCTGCTCTATAAATAGCTGTGCCATCTGCTTGCCAGGCTCATCCCTGCAGTAGGGAAAAAAATATGTCATTACTGTGATGGCCACAGAGTGAATTACAGGCCTTGCATATTCATTATTAGCCACCTTCTTCAATTCAAATGCACCCCCCCCCATTTTTGTGATCCTAGAGGTCAAACTCAAGGCCTTACACATAAAAAGTAAGCACTCTGCCAACTGCAAGAAACCCTTGGGCCATTTGATAAAATATGAAGAGTGATGGGGGAATGTCCTTCTGTATATGTTTCTCTTATTGGTTGAAGAATAAAACACTGTCTAGGCAATGAGGCAGGAGGATAGGCGGGATGAAGAGATTAGAATTCTGGGAACGGTAGGCAGAGGAAGTCCACGAAACAGTTGCCATGTAAGGACTGGGAAGAAAGGATGCACTAGATGTTCTCTAATAAGATAAGGCCACGTGGAAATACATAGATTACTAGAAATGGCTTAATAATTGAGACAGAGCTAGCCAATAAGAAGCCCAAGCCATCAGCCAACAGTTTTATAGCTAACATAGCATCTCTCTGTGTTTATTTGGGACTGAGAAGGGAAGCAGGGCCTGGAGGGACAAGAAAAGCTCTAGCAACAAAAGAGAATAATGAAGGGATTAATTTTAGAACCACTAATCTGTTACTTGACTTGGGGTATTTTGATTGTACTCTTAACACTAAAGCTAAACCTTGAATCAGGGTGGAGCCAGTGACTGACTGACTGGAATTGCCCATAGAGAAGCCAGCAATTTGTATAGAGAAGACACACAGGAAGAAAAGGACAGACACTTGAGTTTGCAGCTTCTTTTTGGTTCTGGAACAAAGGGAGAAATTTGTCTCCTGCAGCGTCTCCCACCAAAAAGCAAGGTCAGCTAGTTGCTTTCAACCTTTCTGAGCTAGTAGGTTTTTACCCCAGCCTTTGACTCCCAAGTCTTAATTGGTAAGTAGAATGATAGATACTTAATTTAAACCTACATATTCTGGTTGCACCAGAGCTGGGTCCCCAGGCTACACATATGATGTATATCAGATTGGTGTGCAGCTGCTAAGACAACAGAAAAACATCATTTGACCTTTATTTTCAAGCAAAACAAAACTACTTACTCTTTTTTTTTTTTTTTTTTTTTTTTTTTATGGCATCTTTAATTTTTAAGAGAAATCTTCATCCTGGCTCTGCCCTCAGGTCCATCTCTCGCCCTTGTTGCTATCTGTCTGCTCATGGCATTCTGTAAACTTTTCTTGAAGATACTTGTACAGTCTCTTCATGCTATAGGGCACCAACAACAAACCATTCTATCCAAGTCTAGCTTGGTGAACCAGTGGGTTTATTGGGCTTTATTTTGGGAGTATGGGTGACTGCAGAAGAGCTACATCACTCATGAGGTCCAGGGTAGCATGGGAGCCAGCCTTCTCGATGCAGTGCCTCCTTCAGTGACCCTCCATCTCTTGTGTACCGAGAACATACCATGTATAACTGGGGCTAGGGCCAGGCAGGGTAAGTGCTGTTATCTTAGGTGAGGGTCTGGTAACTGGCCTGATCTTGTGAGGAACTTAGGCAGTAATCACAGTTTTCTGATTAAGATGACAACAGCTGCATCACAGCTGGAGAGCCGAGTTCTACAGCACATAGGAATAAATCCCTATGTGCTTGTTCTGGCAATGCCCTGGAAAGCATAGGACTTGGTTTACCCACCTTACCCTCCCCCACCCACTGTCCAGATGGGTGGTGGCCATCCAGAACTTCCAGGTTATGAGATAGGAATATTTATGTGATGTTAATCTGAAAGGCAATTGGGGAAGTACACAAACTTTGGGTAGAGGGGCTGACAGGATGGCTCAGTGGGTAAAGTGCTTGCTGCCAAGCCTGAACTCTGACCTCTATCAGGAGTATTCACAAAGTTGAAGGAAAGAACTAACTGGCTCTCACAAGTTCTTTGGCTCCACACCCATGCTCAGCTACACTTGTGCACATACACAAGTATTTTTAAGCATTCTCTTAAATTGATGTGAGCCAACATGAGGATGACTTTCTGGGGAGACATGTATTCTATTTACCAAAAACAAATATTGTGAGATGACATCCAGAGGGCCTGTTCTTGTTTTAAAAAAAAAAAAAAAAAACAGGGTTGCAGTAAAGTGGTTATCACAACCTCACTAGTGCACATGATGACACAGGCCATTGATTGGTCACTACTCTTTGATAATCAGGTAAGGGCTTTTCCCAAGGTTGTCTTCATGGAGTCAGAATCAGCATACTGCTATACTACAGCTGCTATCATGCCTGAACTGCCTAGTTGTGTTTGTCAACTTGACACAAGCTAGAGTCATCAGAGGAGAAGCCTCAGCTGAGGAAATGCCTCCATGAGATCCAGCTGTAAGGTACTTTCAATTAGTGATCAGTGGGGGAGGGCCCAGCCTATGATGGATGGTGCCATCCCTGGGCTGATGGTCCTGGGTTCTATAAGAAGGTGGGCTGAGCAAGCCATTGGAAGCAAGCCAGTAAGCCACTCCCCTCCATGGCCTTGTCAGCTCCTGCCTCTGAGAGCTGTCCTTGTTTGAGTTCCTGTCCTGACTTCCTTCATTGATGAATAGAACTACTGAAGTGTAAGCCACCATAAACCCTTTCCTCTCCAACTTGCTTTCTGGTCATGGTATCTGTGACTGGGCTCATCAGGGCTCAGTAGAGCAAGCAGCCCAGATTCTGAAACAGATGAGATGAAAGGAGTCTGAGGGGACACCCATCTACTCAGGGATTGTAAAGGGAGACCTTACATTGCTCTTGGAGAAGTACCGTGTTCTCTCCTGAGGGAGTGTCAGACTTACCTTCATCCCATCTCTGCAGTGCCAGTCTCCAGACCTCTCTCAGCTGAGCCTGCAGAGGTTTGACTCAT